TCTTCTCATCTCTTCTCATCTCTTCTCTTCTCTTCTCATCTCTTCTCTTCTCATCTCTTCTCTTCTCTTCTCATCTCTTCTCTTCGCTTCTCATCTCTTCCCTTCTCTTCTCATCTCTTCTCTTGTCATCTCTTCTCTTCTCTTCTCTTCTCTTCTCTTCTCTTCTCTTCTCTTCTCTTCTCATCTCATCTCACTCTCTTTCTCTCTCTCTCTCTTCTCTTCTCTTCTCTTCTCTTCTCATCTCTTCTGATCTCATCTCTTCTCTTGTCATCTCATCTCTTCTCTTCTCTTCTCTCCTCTTCTCATCTCATCTCATCTCATCTCAGCCTTGCGCTACTGCTCTTTGTCCTGATCCTTGTTCCCCTGCTTGTCGTGCATGCCGTCGCTTACGTGGTTGGAGTGCCGGTTTTCGCTGCCTCCTTCGTTTCCTAGTATTTTATTGAGGCGGGTTTGTAGGCCTTATCCTCCCCCTCCTTTGTTTGCTCCGGTTTGCCCTTCTTTTTCAGTCAATAAAGCAATGACAAAAAAACGAGACCGAAGAGAAAATGCCGAAGGAGAAGAGGAGGAGGACGAGGACGAGGAGGAGGAGGAGGAGGAGGAGGAGGAGGAGGACGAGGACGAGGACGAGGACGAGGACGAGGACGAGGACGAGGAGGACAACGACAAGGACAAGGAGGATGAGGGGTAGAGATCGGACTTGGAACTGAGAGAGGCGGAAGAGTAGGAGAACAAAGAGAGAAGAAGAAAGAAGAGAGGGAGGAAACGAAACTCTTCATGATGGAGGAGAACAGCCTCAGGAGGTGAAGGACATTGTTGACGGCTTCTCCTGTGTCAAACTTCATGATCTGACAGTCTCTTGTGGTAGCAGATGGAGGAGCCTGGGATCTTCGATCGCTTCACGAAGCTTGGAGAGGAGCTCTTCAACAGCGCTGGTTCCCTCATGGGCGAGCATGCGCCGCATGACAACCGCTATAAGCACCATGGCGCTCAACGGAGCCCATCGGCAGAGAGGGAGGAGCCAAAGCAGAGGAACGCAAGAAGCCTCTCTCCTCCTCTAAAATCTCCTCTCTTGTCTCTTCTGACCTCACCTTACTCCACCTCAGCCTCTTTCTTTTGCTCCTTTTCTCCCCTCCCTTCTCATCTCATCTCATCTCATCTCATCTCATCTCTTCTCTTCTCTTCTCTTCTCTTCTCATCTCGACTCATCTCTCCTCTTCTCATCTCATCTCATCTCTTCTCTTCTCTTCTCTCCTCATCTCATCTCATCTCATCTCATCTCTTCTCTTCTCTTCTCTTCTCTTGTCATCTCATCTCATCTCTTCTCTTCTCATCTCTTCTCTTCTCTTCTTTTGTCATCTCATCTCTTCTCTTCTCTTCTCTTCTCATCTCTTCTGATCTCATCTCTTCTCTTCTCATCTCTTCTCTTCTCTCCTCTTCTCATCTCATCTCATCTCATCTCATCTCTTCTCTTCTCTTCTCTTCTCTTCTCTTCTCTTCTCTTCTCTTCTCTTCTCTTCTCATCTCTTCTGATCTCATCTCTTCTCTTGTCATCTCATCTCTTGTCTTCTCTTCTCTCCTCTTCTCATCTCATCTCATCTCATCTCAGCCTTGCGCTACTGCTCTTTGTCCTGATCCTTGTTCCCCTGCTTGTCGTGCATGCCGTCGCTTACGTGGTTGGAGTGCCGGTTTTCGCTGCCTCCTTCGTTTCCTAGTATTTTATTGAGGCGGGTTTGTAGGCCTTATCCTCCCCCTCCTTTGTTTGCTCCGGTTTGCCCTTCTTTTTCAGTCAATAAAGCAATGACAAAAAAACGAGACCGGCGACAGAACTCCGAAGAGAAAATGCCGAAGGAGAAGAGGAGGAGGACGAGGACGAGGACGAGGACGAGGACGAGGACGAGGAGGACAACGACAAGGACAAGGAGGATGAGGGGTAGAGATCGGACTTGGAACTGAGAGAGGCGGAAGAGTAGGAGAACAAAGAGAGAAGAAGAAAGAAGAGAGGGAGGAAACGAAACTCTTCATGATGGAGGAGAACAGCCTCAGGAGGTGAAGGACATTGTTGACGGCTTCTCCTGTGTCAAACTTCATGATCTGACAGTCTCTTGTGGTAGCAGATGGAGGAGCCTGGGATCTTCGATCGCTTCACGAAGCTTGGAGAGGAGCTCTTCAACAGCGCTGGTTCCCTCATGGGCGAGCATGCGCCGCATGACAACCGCTATAAGCACCATGGCGCTCAACGGAGCCCATCGGCAGAGAGGGAGGAGCCAAAGCAGAGGAACGCAAGAAGCCTCTCTCCTCCTCTAAACCTGCGAGGTCACTGCGGGCTTGTCATCATCCCCAACGAGCGAGGGGAGGTCGTCATCGAGTCTATCATCGCCGGGAGCCCCGCTGCCAGGTCGGCGCTGATTTTCTTGCTCGATGCTGATGGCACTCGGCTGACTGGCTGTGCGTTCCCCTCAGGACTGGCTGGCTGTGCAACGGAGACGTCATCTTCGCCATCGACGGGCAGCGTGTGCCGCACAACGTGGGGATGGTGAAGTCGATGCTGTCAGGGGGAGTTGGGGAGATGGTCGACCTGACGGTGAAGCGCTACGTGGTGGCTGGGGAAGCGAGGAGAGACGAGCGAGGAAAGTTCAGGTTGATCAACGTGAAGCTTAAGAGGACGCAGGTGATGACTGAAGAGGACGCAGAAAGCTGCTCCTCTCCCCCGCTCTCTTCCTCCTCCTACCCCCCTTCCTGGTTGGATGCGTCAAGAATATCGTTACCCGACCGCAGCTCGTTGAGTCCCACCTACCTTGCTCCTGCTTCAAGGTCCGTCAAGGTCATGGAGGAGGCAGCAGACGTTCAAGAGCTGGCACGAACGCGACCAGCTGCTGTCCCTCGCCTGCCCATAGAACGCAGTCTCAGCCAGCACCAACCTGTCAAGCCTTCTGCCCCTGCGACTGAAGAAGTTAACCCGCATAAGGCACCTGTGATTTCTCGACCCCGCCTGCCCATCAGGCTTGCGGCACCTCAGCCTCAGTCCTCCAGTCCCTCTGCCTCCAACGGCCACCAGCATGTCGATGAGAGTGGAAGAGGAGGGGCTGAGACAGGGCGGCTGCAGCAGGACGTGAAGGCTCTGTCGTTAGAGAGAACCATGCTGCTCGCCAGCATCGAAGAACTCAAGCGCGAGGCGACGCAGAGAAAGGAGGAGATCGAGCAGCTGCAGTCCAACCGGCTGTCACTCCAGGAGAGTCTGCAGGAGTACGAGAGGGACAGGCAGTATGTGCTCGCGCAGACCCGAGCGGCGCAGGAGGAGATGCGGGAAGCGCTTGCAGCTGTGGAGGAGCTCGGGATCGGGTTCAAGTCCATGACAGCCGATGTGGAGCGAAGCGAGGAGGATGAGATCAAGCGCGTGATGACGCTGCTGGAGTCAGCCAACGAGACTCAGAAGCATCTCAACGAGACCGTCATGGCCGTCGGGAAGCTCGCGAAGCGTGTCGAGGCAAACAAGAACTCGGACGAGCGACAAGGATCAGCTGGCGATCAGCTGGTGGCGGAGGGAGGCAGACTGAGCTGAGGGCGCAGCTAGAGCAAGTGACGGCAGAGAGAGAGGACGCGAGAGGGAGAGAAGCATCGATGAGCCTCGTGCTGCAGCAGACCCGTGGGGAGCTCGCGGAAATGCGATCGAAGATGGCGAGGATGGAAGGCGAGCTGCTGGAGGCGAGGCAGAACTTACAGGCCACGCAGCAGGAGAGGAAGTCGGCGAGGGATGAGGCGGAGAGGTGGAGGATGCGATGCGAAGTGATCTCGCAGGCGGAAAGAGATCTCAGCCAGTCGCTGCAAGAGATGGGGAAAGAGAGGAGCATGCTGCAGGAAAGGATGAGGCAGCAGGATGCCCTTGTGGATCAGCTGGCTGTCAGGATAATCAGCCTCCACGAGCTAGCGAGAGGAGGCGAGAGGAGCGGAGAGACGAGGAGCGAGCAGGTACTTCACCGCTGCCTTCTGTCCTTCCCTGAGTGACTTCTTTGCAGCTCCCCAACATGCTTGAGGAGGTACATCAACACATGGAGCGACTGACAAGGTCGAAAGGACAAGAGTTTCCTGCCGTTGACGAGCACGAGACAAGAGAGTCGCTTGAGAAGAAGCTGGCGGAGATGCGAGAGATGATGGACAGGGCGAGGAAGTTCTACCAGGACTACAAGGAGGGGAAGGAGATCGAGCTCAGGGCCCTCGAGTACGAGCTTGTCCAACAAGCCGCTCGCTTCCGGCGACGCGAGAGCGAGCGTCAAGTGACGATGGTGAGAGGAGGGCCGAGGGTGCCGGGGGACTAACGTCAAGCTGGAGCAGTTGAACCCTCGGGGCCATCGCTCGCTCTCACCCGTCAGCCGGCGATCCATCGACAAGGCCTCGGAGGTCAGGCAAGTCTGACCGTACGGTCCGAGCGCCGGGCAGGCGCTGACACGGCGCGGCCGGCCGCGTGACTCTGTGAGCCTGCGGTCCGTCAGGCGGGCGGGCGGTCGGTCCCGGTGCGGCGGCCACGTGGCGGCCCGGGGGGCGGCGGAGGGGCGCGGCGACTCAGTCGGAGGCCGCCGGCGGCGCCGCGCGCGCCGCGGCAAGCCTCGGAGTCCGCCGAGTCACCGTCGGGGGCGGGCCATCACGAGTCATGCGGCGGAGTCCGGTCCCGGATGTGACACTGGCTGCCGTACAGTACGGTGCCCCGCCAGGCGGTGCGGCACTGAAGCCCGGCGTACTGAGGCTGATCCGACGGATGCGAGAGTCACCGCCGCCGAGGCGAGCTGCCAGCGGCCCGGCGCCGAGCCTGAGTGAGGGCCCGGGCCAGGACGTAGTACCCGGCGTACGGTTTCCGCCCCGGCGGAGGCAACTTGACTCCGCGGCTGCCCGGCCAGGCGAACCGTTCGGAAGGCTTGCCAGTGACTGTGACTCCCGGGCCGAGCTTAGTAAATTAATTATACTACGGCTCAGTCGCCGCGCCCAAGTTCGCCGAGCCTGCCCGGTGACAGTGCGACCGTGGTACTATACGGTAGGGCCTGAACTTCTGGCGTGCCATGTTGAACGCGGTTTCGAGGACTCTGAACCCGGAGCGGCCCCCGCCTCTGAGTGAGCCTGGAAGTGCCAACTGACCGTGCGAATTTCGACTCAGCAAGTTAGTAAACCGTTGAACCGTGAAGGCTCGGATTATCATCCCTCGCCCGCCGATGATTTTGATCCGGGCCGAGTCCGGCGGGGCCCGCCGGGGCCCACCGTGACCGAACGGTCAGTAACTCGGAGCCTCCCGCGGCCCGGGCCTCAGCGCGGTCAAGTGCCGGGCTGCCCAGCGGAAGCCGGAGTCCGATCCGAGTCCGGATCGGACTCCGATCAGTGCGGCGGCCCCGGAGCCTGAGGCGGCAACGCCGTGACGCCCGGCCGCCCGGGGGCCACCGGGGTGACCGGCCCTCAGGCCAGCCTGTGACTCTGACTGAGCCTCGGAGACTCTGAGACTCGGACTCAGACGGTCCGGACTCGCGGCGGCAGCCTGGGCCGCATCACTGATCATCATAGTATGATGCCATGATTGCGGCGGCACTGCGCGGCACCCGGTCTGCGCCAAGTCCGCGTGACGCCGACTCCCGAGCCACGTTGAGGGGCGCGGCGGGCCCGGCAGCCGGAAGCCTCAGTCCGATGATGGTGTCACTACTAGCCTCTAACCCTGGGCCGGGCCGGGCGGCCGCCGCAGACCGTACGGCCCCGGTATGCCGATCGGGCCGCGAAGTTTCAAGTTCAACCAGTGCCGGGCACGGGGTGCCGGACTGAGGCTGGTCTACGTACGGTAGTACTGAGTTTACTGGCAACTTAGTCAAGTTAAAAATCAGTACGTGGACCGGGACAATCAGGAGGGTAGGAGGCAGATCAGTGCGATCATTTACTCAAAGTTAAGTTAAAAATCAGTACGAGGACAATCAGGAGAGACAAGGAGGCTTGACCCTGACACTGATCAGTGCAGTCACTGTCACGTGACCCAGGGAGATCCCGGCAGGGGGGAAGTCCTGGCGGGCCTAGTAGGGTAGTACCACCGGTCCAAGTTCCAACTTGGAAGTTGAGTGTGAGAGGTGGTGGGGTACTCGACGTCATACAGTACCGGTAGTGACTGGTCGGGTCGGTCCCGCAGGCTTGCAACGTGTTAGCACCCTGGCATCACCCTACTGACCACTGAGTACCCCACCCCCCGGCCATCTCATTGACCCCACCCTATGCTCCGGTGTATGCCGGGATATCTCCGTTCATCATTGGATACCACCGGTGAAGATAGAGTCAACAGGTAGGGTAGTCACTGATCACTCGGGGGTACCGTGTGTGTGCGGTACTTTCAAAACAACACGTGGAGGAGGCCCTGGTTGTCACCAGGGTGGGTGGGTTCCAGACTTAATAGGGTGTAGAGGGGGTGGGGTGGTTGGACACTCTTTGGACATACAAGAGGAAATTCGAAGCCTGAAGTGCGCGAAGGCTTTGAAGGTCGAGAGGAGGGTGGGGGTGGGGTACTTCCTGTGGTTGAGAGGGAGTGAGGGTGATCAGAGATGAAAAGACCATCTAATAAAGGGGGTATTGTACGCTCAAAGAAGGGGTAGTGGGAGATTTTGTAGGGACTCGAAGGTTGAGGGTAGGGTAGTATCTGAGCTTGGTGTATCGCACAATTGCAATGAACGAAGCGATGGAATGCAGACAGCAAGCGGACAGAGCAAGAGAGGAGGAGAGGAGGAGAGAGAGGGAGAGAGGAGGAGGGAGCGGAGAGGAGATGGGATAGCAAAGACGAGAACCGTAGAAAAGAAGAATGAAGAAGTCAGAGGCATGAGCAAGAGAACAAAGACAAGTTTCAAGGAGGAAAGGGACGAGAGCAAAGGTATGAGAAATAGAACATGAGGAGCAGGAGAGCCAAGGGAAGGGTCAGACGCAGTTGTAGCTTCATAGACAACGCTATTTATCAGCCGATGCAGGAAATTATTGACGATTGGTATAGATTAGATTCATGAGGAAGCTGAAAGATGAGGATGGTAGTTTGAGAGTCATGCCTTCACCTGAGGTGCCACTTGAGATAACAGAGTCAAGATATGTTGTAATGTTTCATGTTGTATGTTTCATGTTGTATGTTTTCTATTTCCTTCCCCTCTCGTCCACTAGCTCTGCCGTCTTGACTGGTTTCTGTGCAGCATGGAGGAAGGACACATGAGCTCCTTCTACCCGCAGGTCGCCAACGCTGACAACGGCATCCGAGGATTCTCCGTCCATCCCCTCGAGTACTCCCTGGAGGAGCAGCCCAGCAAGGGGCAGCACGCTGCTCCTGCCGTGAGCAAGCAGCAGTTGACGCACATGAACTCAGCGAGCAGCCGGTCCCTGAGAGGAAGCTCGCTCCGGGTCGGGAACAAAGCTCACTTCGCCTGGTCGGGCGTCAACTTCACCTTGTCCCCCAAGACCGTCGCCAAGTCTCACAAGGACCCGCGCGTGCTCAAGAATCTCTCGGGGGTCGCGCACCCAGGGGAGGTGATCGCTATCATGGGAGCGAGCGGTAGCGGCAAGACGTCGCTGCTCAACGTGCTGAGCGGGAGGATCATGTCGATGAACGGGCATGTTGTGACCTCCAAGTTCTCCATCAACGGGAACGCGATCCATGCCGACCAACTCGGCCCCAACATCGCCTACGTGACCCAGGAGGACACGCTGTGCCCGACGGCGACGCCGCGAGAGGCGCTGGAGTTCAGCGCGAGGCTGAGGCTGCCGTCCTCGGTGTCGCGAGAGGAGCGAGAGCGGATGGTGGAGGACGTGATTCAGATCCTCCACCTGGAGAAGTGCGCGGACACGATGATAGGAAACGAGCTGATCAAGGGCATCTCAGGCGGCGAGAAGAGGTGACGCCCTCCTCCTCCTCCTCCCCCTCCCTCTCCTCTCTACCTCCTCTTCTCCTCGTCTCCGTCCCGTCAGAGTGTCGGAGGAGCGCTCAACGTTTGTTGACAAGACTGCAGGAGAACGAGCATCGGCGTCGAGCTCATCACCTCCCCGTCCATCCTCTTCCTCGACGAGCCCACCTCAGGCCTCGACTCGTACGCTGCCTTCAACGTGGTGAACGCGCTCAAGGATCTCGCGTCTCTTGGCTGCACCGTCCTCTGCACCATCCACCAGCCCTCCTCGGAAGTCTTCCACCTCTTCGACCGCGTCCTCCTCCTCGCTGACGGCAGGACCTTCTTCGATGGGCGGGTCGACCACATGGCGCAGTACCTGCTCACCTGCGGCTACCCCGTGCCGCCTGAGACGAACCCGGCGGACCACGTGATGTTCCTGATGCAGACGCTGGATAAGCAGGTGCTGCAGGGTATCAGCGACCAGTTCGAGGTCGCCAGGAAGGGCTTCAACCCCCACGCTCAGGCTCAGAGTGAGGCCGGAAGGGGAGGCATGCCACTGCACAAACTGAAGCGAAGCCAAGCGCCATGGACGGTTCAGTTCATAGCGCTGGGCAAGAGAGACATACAGAGCGTGCTACGAGACACTGGGTCACTGAAGGCGAGATACGGCTCGACCATCATGCTGACTCTCATCTTCTCTCTCATCTTCTACAAGATCGGAGACTCGACGGACACGCAGTCTCACTTCGGAGCTCTCGCCAACCTCGCCATCAGCGGCATGTTCGGAGCCTCCCAGCCTGTCATCCTCCTCTTCCCCTCCGAGCGCCCCAGGTTTCTCCGCGAGTACGCGACGGGCACATACGGGGCGATCCCCTACTTCTGGTCGAAGCTCGTGACGGAGCTGCCGTTGACGTTCTCGACCAGCATCATCACCTTCCTTGTCGCCTACTGGCTCGAAGCCCTCAAGGGCAACTTCATCCTCCACGTCCTCACCCTGTGGCTCATCGGCATGGCCGCCTCCTCCACCGCCCTCGTCGCTGGCTGCATCGCAAGCAACGTGCAGGTGGCCATGCAGGCGGCTCCAGCCATCTTCGTGCCTCAGATCTTGTTTGCGGGCTTCTTCATCAAGATCCAACAGATTCCCGTGTGGATCCGTTGGGCTCAGTACCTCTGCTCCCTTAAGTTCGGCATCAACCTCTTCCTCCTCAACGAGTTCAACTTGGGCTGCCCCGAGAGCTCCAGCCAGCACGCCAGCTGCATGTCCGTCATCACGCAGAACGACATCAAGCCCGGAGACTGGTGGGTGTATGGCCTTGTCCTCATCGGCATCTTCGTCTTCTTCCGCTCCCTCGCACTCATCCTGCTCATGAGACGGGCCAAGGGCTTCGCGCTGGCGTAACAAGGAGGAGAGGGAGGCGTAGGAATGCTTGTTTTAGATTTGTATTACAATTATGATGTTTGGCATGGAAAATGACATAACAGCGCCTTAAGCCTCCCCCCTCCTCTACGCTCTCTCCTCCTCCCACCCCCGCCCTCCCCGACCCCACCCCTTCACACTTACAACCCTCCTCCTCCTCTACTTCCCCACAGTCAAGGCCTTGATACGATTCGTCTGCAGGAGGTTTGAGAAACGCTCGCAAGGAAGCAGCAGCTCTCACCGCCACCACCGTGTTGATGGCTCGCTTGAAGCGCCCGCGCGCCACGTACTTCTTGAGCTGCTCCTGCTGCAGCAGCAGCGCGCTCGACGAGTTGCTGTGCCGCGAGGAGATCCACGGGTGCTCGACGATCTCCTCGCTCTTGAGTCTCTTGGCAGGATTCACCTGTCTTCCAGCTCAGCCAGTGCATGGCGAGCAAGTGAGGGCATGGGCGAGAGCCAAGGGAGGAGGAGGAGGAGGAGGAGGAGGAGGAGGAGGAGGAGGTTGCCTGCAAGAGCTTCTTGACAAGATCCTTGGCCTCGCTGGAAATGTCGTCCCAGTACGGGGAGGGGAAGGAGTAGTCCCCTTTCTTGATTTGAGAGAATAAAACTGCGCATGGTCAGCTCCTCCTCCTCCGCCCCCTCCCACCTCTCACCGGAGTTGTTTTCATCATAGAAAGGAGGAAAGCCACAGAGAAGGATGTAGAGGATAACTCCAATGCTCCACAGATCCACCTTCAAGGCTCTCAACAGCACGAGGCAACGGCGCCTCCTCCTCTTCTCACCTCAGGTCCATATCCTCTCTGCTCCAGCACCTCTGGTGCAACATACCCTGGAGTCCCGCACGTTGTGCTCATCGTGTGGTCTTCAGTTGGCATGACAACCTTCGCCTGCCCCCATGTCTCAACCAGAAACACGTAGGAGCCAGGGAGGGAGGGAGGGAGGGAGGGCAGGAGGGAGTAGAACTTCTCATGTATCATACCAGCCCGAAATCTGCCACCTTGATCACTTCGTAGTCTGGACTCTCTGGGTCGCCACTGGCGTAGAGGAGGTTCTCGGGCTTCAAGTCTCGGTGTACAACTCCGACCTGATGCAAGTAGCTGCAAAGGAAGGAGGAGGGGACGGGAGGAAGAGAAGGGAAGCAGTCATGACTTGTGACAAGAGGATCACAAGAGATCTCACGCGATGGCTCTGACGACGCTTTCAATCAAGATGGCAGCTTCTCTCTCGGAGTAAGAACCTTTGGTGATAATCCTGATGCATCATCAGCTCAGGTTTGTTGCTTGTCACGCGCACCTGTCGAACAGCTCTCCTCCTGTCACAAGTTCGAGCACGATATACAATCTTGTCTTCTCATCAAAAACCTGGAAAACCAACACGTAAATCCAGGAAGCATTCCTTACCAACTATGAAGCACCTCTATCAGTTTGATACAATTGGGATGATTAACTTTTTTCATAATCGCAATCTCTTGTTGTAACGCGTTTGCATCATATTCTTTATCCTGTCCATATTTGTCAGATTCGACTGGGGGGACCAACTGCCGTGTTCTCACTCACTTTCTTATCAACTATTTTAATTGCAACTGGTTTCCCTCCATCCTTCGGAATTCCTTTCTTTACAGTCGCGAAGCTACCTCTGATCACACAGGTCAGAACAAGCAAGATTCCTGTCTTGGAGCTTTCTCACTTTCCCAGCGTCTCGTTGATGTCATAATATTTCTTTATGCCGGTTGCAAGAAACCCGAACATGGTTCTGGACGAAAACGCAAATTCTGTTCACGATACGTCAGCTATGTTGTCCTGCTACACAATTCAAACAGTATCCAAAAATTGGAAGTCTTCAAAACGATTTAAGTATCAACAATCTCTTGTGACTAACAACTCTGTTTGTTCACAGATCAATATTCATCAGAAATTTCTCAACAAGCTTTGTAACAACGATAGTACGACTGTGAAATCAATTTTTCTCGTCGAAATCAAGACGCAGCCAACCCTACTGGCGCTCCCAGCCCATGAACAATATCATATCTTGTGATGCGGCTGCATCTCACTTCTGTATTCGAACTGTGGGCTACTGATGCTTGTTTGGGATTCACACAGTGGCCACTACGCAGAATCGAATCGGAAGGGTTCACAATTTCATCAGCGCTGCTCGATTTCTTCGTTACAAGCACCAAGCCATTCTCTTGGTTGTTTCTCTCCCACACAGAGGTTACTTCCCCCCCCCCCCCCCTCTCCCTCTTCTTGTCTTGTCCTGCTCTATCACTCCCCCGCTCTCGTTGTGCCATGGACGGTTAGCGTCCCAACTCCAGGGGCTGAGGCGAACTGACACGGGGGGTGGTAGGTACCCATGGATGGGTGGGGTCATGAGGGGTGGTCATTTTGTAGGGAGGGTGATTGCCTTAGGAGTAATTGTCAAGACGAGGGGTACTTATCGGATACAATGTAGGTAGGGGTCTACAACGGAGGGGTATCTTTTATAACAGAAGGGTGCTTCATTTTTATGGTAGGGTGATATGTGAAGTTCAGGTAAGGAGGGGTGGTGTGACTGGTGGAGTGGGGTACAGGAAATGAGCAGGGTGGGTCCTGTTCAAGTTGAACGTGTGGGTAGTGGTCCTACACTATCAAATCGGAAGGAATGATAGGTAAATATGGGGTGGGGTACCTCAGAACTGGGTAAAGGGTGGGTAGATAGGTAGTAATAGGGGTGGGGCGATCACTGGAAATTGTCATCTCACAGTGCGAGAATGGTCGCATGAGATGGGTGGGTAGTTTTCAGGGGATTGAGAGGGTGGTGTATAGAAAGGCGTAGATGGGCCTGAAGTTCAGAATGCTGGGGTGGGGTAGGTTGTTGTTGTAAACTGGGGTAGGTCAATCTAGGCTGCAGGGGGTAGGGTGTCAAAAATGTAGAGGCCGGAAGTGGTTCATCAGTGGGGGCCCGTGTAGGTATGGAGGGGTAGGGTGGTCAAATTATGAAATTGATGGGAGAGGTGGGGTCAATAATACATCGGAAGGTCTAGCGGCACGGGTGAAAATGGATATAAAGGGACGGGTGGTCAAAGGGAAGGTGAGCAGGTCGGTAGTGAGGTGGGGTGGGTGACTGATAAGTTGAGGCAGGAGGGGTACTGAGAAGTTGAGGAAGGAGGGGTCGTAACCGTTTCACAGTAACCACCAAGGGGTGTTCTTTTCCCGTGGGTGACCACCACTCTACGCAGGGGTCCCTCACGAGATTGGGGTAGGGGTCCAGGACTTTGTCTTGACGGTGTGGGTTCAAATCAAGGGTGGGTGGTATAAAATGTAAAGATGGAATAAACAAGTGCAAGCTAGGGGTAGTCTTCAAGAACTGAAACTCTGATGTAGGGTGGGGTCTGTGAATTCCGGATTCATGGGTATGGGTGGGTACTATTGGGATAGGGTGGGTGGTATTAGGAGTGTCCCATCCCCTCTCAGGCCCATATGTTTGAATCGCAGGACGTATGAGGGGAAAATTCCGGCGAATATTTTAAAAATAATCAATCGAAGCGATATGACCTATTGGTTCTAGTATTGTCCTAGGATCTATAAAACCGTTATTTTCAGTTTCGTGTCTCTTCGCATCCAGTCTGTCCCCACCCCACAAATAACTTCTACCGCATGGTCGAGTACCCCTTATCTTACTACCCCCACCCTTATTATCATACTTAATATCCCGGAAAAAAGGGTATATTACTATACCCCTACCCTTACAGACCACAGAGTACCCCTAGTCGAGGAGGCAAATTGTCTGGACTGCGGGCTGCCATGGCGTGGAAGCTGGTAGCGGCGGTGGCGGCGGTTGTGATGACGATGGCAGCGCTGGTGATGACCAGAAGCTCAATTTTTGCATCAGGAGATGCAGAGGGCAAGAACTCGAGGGGCTGGACTGAGTTAGAGCAGGAAGTAAGGAGAGGGAGAGTGCGTGGGAGCGCTAGGCACCATGTGGCGCTGCGAGCGGACTCTTCGCTCTCTGACTTCTTCAAGGCTGCAATGAATGGTGACTTTCAGAGAAAGAGGAACGTCGATTTGGCCACAGACGGTCTCCTGGGCCCCAGGCAGCTTGCGGCTCGGAGGCATGCGAGAGAACAGTCGCTTGCTGAACGAAGCACTGCAATGCCTGTCCATGTGCATGCCCCACACCATGTGATGATGTCGCAGAAGCATATGGCTCACTCTAGGGATCATATCGATGCTGCCGGCGCTACCAGACGGGAGCAACTCCGTCAGATCCAGAAGAGAATCAGCATCAAGTATCCCAGCGAGGACAAGTTCGTGGCTACCTACAGAGGGTCACTTCCACGAGGGGATGTGCCTGTGGATGCCGTCAGCTTCGGGCCGTACGTTCCCCTCTGAGCTCAGTGACGCTCAGCTCAACAAGTTTCGTGAGTGAAACTTCGACTCCTGCTTCGTGCTTCTCCTTGTGAAATAACGAGAATTCTTTGAGAGTGATGATGGTCGACAGCAGCGAGAGGCGTGTTCTGATCAAGATCTCTTTTTCCAGGTTCAAGGCTCATGCTTGTGATGTACTCTCCTTAGCGACTTATTGTGCCTTGTCCCTGCCCCCACTCTACAAGTAGCAAGAGACAGATTTGGCTAGGGATGTGCGAAGCAGTGCGCAACTTGAATTTTCATTTTGTTTGTGATTGCTACCTCTGGTTGCTTCTCTCATTTTCTCTCTGGTCATTTATCCCTGTGAGGTCATGCCTGTGTGTTGCTGACGAACAAGGCCTGCACTGACAGCATGTTGAATTCATTTGGTGTTAATCTTCTCCAACCTCCTGCCCCCTTCTCCTTGAGCCCCATTGCATGACAAGCTGCTGCTAACGCTGCCACTTATCTGGCGGCTGAGTTCTCCTCAGGAACGAACTCAGAATGTTTTCCCGCAATCTTGATCAGATGGGAAGAGATTTCATGTGGACAGTCCTGCGGAACGGTAAGACGACGACGAGATGAGCAGGAGAGTACCTCTCATTCAGAGGCTGGATCGGTCGGTTGTTCTTGCCCATCGCATTTCTAAGCGCACCGATGTCCTTTGACAAGGAATGAGAGGGGCAGGAGGGAAGGAGGGGCCTTACCTTAGCAGTCATCTTCACCTTTTTGTTCATCACGATCCATGTCACTCCCTCCTGACAGTTAGGTGTAGTGAAGCTGCTCGCAATGTCATGGACCGCCTCCTCCTCCTCCTCCTCCTCCTCCTCCTCCTCCTCCTCCTCCTCCTCCTCCTCCTCCTCCTCCTCCTCCTCCTCCTCCTCCTCCTCCTCCTCTTCCCTCACCTCCCACTGTACATCCAGTAGTTGGCGTTGTCGCCCACAACATCTTGCAGAAGCTGCAGAGAAGCATTCAGGGCAGCCAGGGGTGAGGGATGGGGCAGAAGAATCATCAAGAGCTGTTCACCTGCGTGTAGTTGAAGTGAACGATAGCCGCTGCCTCTTCCTCAGACTTGGGAAAGTCAGCAAGGAGCTGCAGGAAGTCAGTCAGGTGAGTCGAGCAACAGGTCTCCCTACCTCCTTGAAGTACTCGGGGTTCTCGTCTGCTGTTTCGACAAAGACGCCGATCACCAAGTAGTTGTTTGATTGACTCTGCATCCTTCTTGAGCTCACCCAGCAAGCTACCGCTCGATCATACCTTGTGCACGAAGTGAATCTCTGCTTGTTGCAGATTATCATCCAGCTTTCAACTCGTCAGCAGCCGCAGCACCGTCCGGAGGCCTGACCTGATGCTCGCTGGGAGTGTGGAAGTGAAACTGGAGCAGCTCGAACCAAGTGCTGTCGTACTGGAAGTATCCCTTCACTCCACTCGTCTGCACTGTGTGTCCGTTGTGGACGACTGTAACCAAGTTGGAGAAGGAGTTCTTGACGAGGGTGCTCACGTCCTGCTCGTGCAGCCCGTTAGATCACCAGCCTGAGCAAGAAGCGACGAGGAGACCTGAAAGTTGTTCATGCTGATGTTCTTCAGGGTCCTTCCAAGCTCATACTTGGGGCCGACGCTTGTGCGCAGGTTGATCGGCGACTGCAAGGCATGAGAGCCCGCAGACGGAGAGGAACGCGCAGAAGACCTGCAGCTTGCCGGAGCCGCAGGTAGCGTAGTCAGGAGTCAGCGACGCCCAGTGCTCGGGCCCATGCTCAGGCGAGTAGTCCCTACAAAAAGTGAGATGAGAGCAGGAGCAGAGGGATGAGAGGGAGGCGAAACAGGAACAGAAGCTCTTCCTACCAGTGGATCGCATGTGCCGTCTGGGTCACTGGGGTCGTTACGTTGAGAGCGCAGTCATCTCCTGGTATCCTAGTGAACGCGACCTGCACCAGCGATCATGTTCACTGCCTTCAAGGGTTTGAAGCAGGGGAGCCTACCACAGCGACCACGAGCGCAGGGAAAGCGATGAGGAAGATGAGGAGGAGGAACCCGAGCAGCATGTTCTGCTCCTTCCTCTTGGGATCTACAAGGCAGGGAATGAGTCAGCGCAGCAAAAGCAGAAGGACAGATTGTGGGCTACCGGGAGGAGGAGGTGCTGGGGAGTACATCGTTCACGCTCCACCTGCGAATCCTTGGTTAAGAATCATGATATCAACACTTGATATCTACAAGCACTTGGCGCGCCTGCCGCTACTCTCAACCATCCGTTCCTCTCTGTCCATATCCTCCCTATCTCATAACTCTCCCTCCTCTCCCTCCTCTCCCTCCTCTTCTCCTCTTCCTCCCTTCCCTTCCCTCTCTTCCCTCTTTCCCCTTGTTTTTCCTTTTCAGCCCCACCCATCCCATATCTATCTTAGGCCCGTTTCCCGCCGGCTCCCAGATTCCAGATTTTTGACTTTATTCAAACTAATTTGAAATTTACCCCGAAATATTCACCGGTGCTTTCAATACATACTGACAGGGGGTGGGTCCACTGCCTGTTCATATTTGATGCTCCCAGCGTACCCTCCCTACCTTCTAACAATTTTTCTCGATTGAGCTAATAGTATATTTCCATATAGTGCCTGCCCATTCGAAAAGCAAAATCTGGGAAAGTCAACCGCATCGTTTCATTCTCAAATTAAAATGACTTATAGTTGAGTTCTCCAAAACATTTGGAGTAGAAAAAAAAGAATTTGACTTATATTTGTATGAAAAAATCTGGAATCTGGAATCTGGGAGCCGGCGGGAAACGGGCCTTAGACATGTACCCCACCCCTCCCTTTCCGTAGGAAATCATAGAGGGGGTATGTCCACTACCTACCCTGTCAGAAAGAGTACCAGTGACTATCTTGATACAGAGGGGTCGTAGAGAGAGGTGCTAGCAGTGTCCTAGGTAGATACTGGAAATTGATAGTGAGGTCGCTGAAGATAAGGATCGCGCGGACGAATGAAAATTTGAAATTTGCAAATACTTATAAAAAAAAAGTCCGGGTCATCCTTTTGACAACTTGGCCTGCCAATGATTTGAATTTCGTGAAAGGCGAGGAGAGACAAGGAGAGGAGAGGAGAGGAGAGGAGAGGAGAGGAGAGGAGAGGAGAGGAGAGGAGAGGAGAGGAGAGGAGAGGAGAGGAGCCTGAGACAAGGAGAGGAGAGGAGGGGAGAGGAGAGGAGAACAGACAGGACAGGAGAGATCTGAGAGACGAGAAGAGGAGAAGTTGATCAGAGCAGAAGATACAAAAGAAAGAAAAGCCTCAGATAAGGAAAAAGACGGAGAGAAAACGTTAAAAACTTTCGACTGACTCGTGGCCGCACAGCAGAGCAGACTCAATGACTGGTAAGGCAGCAGCCTGAGGTCTGGAACTGGTTTCCGAGCCTTACTGTCACGCGGATCAGCCTATCTAATCTTATCTGCCGCGTCATTAACAAGCGAAACAGCCGAGCAGATCAAACGAGCTGGGTCACTTCAGCCTTGCACGTGAAGATGCCGAAACAAGGAGAGCAGCTCGACCATGGCGGCCTGCTAACGACATCCATGCTCGATGCTGCAGAAGCGAAGCGCACAAGCCGTGCATTCTTGCCTGAAGGAGCGCCGACAGATGATGAGGAAGATGCGGTCAGCAGGAGGCAGCTGAAGCTTCGAGTGGAGATGTTGGAACGTGAGGTGGCAAGGAGGAACTCGCAGGTGGACGAGCAGGTGGACATGTTGCGACAAGCCGTTGCCAACCTCATCCGAAGAGTAGAGCTGCTCGAGGCTCCAGACCTCGCGTGTCATCCCTCGCACGTCGCCACGTCAGCAGCTGAGACCCCAAGAGGGGCGCCAGCCTCTCCTCCAACTCTTGGAGACGAGGGAGGGTCGTCAACGACAGCTAGAAAGGTAGAGGAGACGTCAACGACAGCTACCAAGGTAGAGGAGACGTCAACGAAAGCTACCAAGGTAGAGGAGGTTCCGGTGGGAGGAGCGGCTGGGATGAAGCTCGAGGCCTCAAAGAGTGCGAGGAGCAGCTTGACTGCTGCTGGACAAGAGCGATCAAGGAGCAGCTCTTGCAAGACTGAAGCCTCAAAACAAGCAAGGAAGAGCGTGGAGAGGCTCCGAAGCATCGGAGACAAGCCTTCCTCTCCTCGACCCTCTAGGTCTCCTCCCCCTCCTCCTCCTCCTCCTCACTCCTCCACTCCACCTCAGTCCTCCTCCTCTTCTCCATAACTCTGAGAAAGCAGCATCAATCAACCTGTCAGGAGCAGCTCGGCGAGGGGCGCGAGGGTCTCCAGGTGAGAAGCAGGGGAGGAGCGAAGGTCAGCTGACGCTGCTCCTCAGGTCCTCCGTGCGGAGTATCGCCATGGAGGAGGAGGCAGCAGAACGTCAGGTCGGGAGGGAGAGGAATTCGACTCCCCACCTGGCTCAAGAGCTTAACAAGGCCGCAAGCTCCATGCCCACCAAGAGGTGGAGGGGAGCGGGGAGGAGACCTGGGACTGAGAGCCAGGCAGCTTGCAACTGAAGCACGTGTTGGGGTTGAGGTGTAAAGACACGTGGGCAGCCCTGGTGTCGAACAAGAATGGACAGGAACGGGAGGATGAGACGCTGCTGCCCCTGACTCTCCTGCAGCTCGTCTTCTTCGCTGCTGCCCTTGGCGTCGTTCACGATCTCACGACCAACAGACAGACTTTCTTCAGGTAGCCTGCCTCCCCGCCTCTCCCTCACCTCCCCTCCTCCTTTGCTCGCCTTGACCGCTTCATTCTTCTCATTCACTTTGTTGCAGAGGTCACGATGCAGAGATAAAGTGCATAGCGATGCATCCAGACGGAGTAAACCTCCGTCTCCTCCCTCTCTTCCCCACTCACTCACTCACTCACTCACTCACTCACTCTCCCTCCCTCCCTCCTTCTGCCCCCTTCCCTCCCTTCCTCACTCCCGCGCTGCTTCGCTCCTCTTTGCTCTCTCTTTGGTTCAGCTAACGCTGCATAAGGAGCTCGTGGCTACAGGCCAAGGAGCGGGAAGGAGCGGGCAGAAGCCCTTTCTCTGCGTATGGAGCTCCAGCAGCTGCTGCCTCGTCACGAGCATGGGGAGGGGAGACCTACCGCAAGCCCTCACAGGTACCCCATCCCTCTTCTACCCCACCTCCTCTGCTCCTTCGATCCATCTCACGCCCTGGACAGCTCTCGCTTTTTCTAGGTCGGGTGCTAAGCTAGCTTCCCTTTGCTCGGACCCCAAGAACTGTCTGGTGGTGTGGGACTGGCAGGCGGGCGTCAAGCTGGCGAAAGCTCCAGCCCATACGGACGGGGCAGCGCTGAGTGTGAAGTTTTCAGAGAGACGAGAGGACGAACTTGTGAGTGCCGGGAAAAAACATGTCAAGTTCTGGACTTTGAGGGTAATCTCCTTCTCCTCCTCCTCCTCATCATCATCATCATCATCATCATCATCATCATCATCATCATCATCATCATCATCATCATCATCGTCGTCTCACTTCCCCAAACTCTCACTTACCTCCTCCTACTCTTCCCTGTATGGAGTTGACACTGCATGAAAGCACAAGGAAAGCCTCCTTGACCGAGAGGAGGAGGAGATGCCCATGACTTTGAAGGTGAGCCTGAGATCGCTTCCCCTCCCTCCTCTCATTCTCACTCTCTCAGTCTCGCACGGGAACTTTCGGAGCCTTCGAGCAGGTCCATCCTCCTCTCCCCTCTCCTCGCCCTCCCTCCCCTAGCCCTCACTTCGCTACAGCCCAACTTCGTCAGCTGCCTCGTGTGCCTGCCCAATGGCACAACTGCCAGCGGCACGACGGGAGGAGACATCTACCTCTGGCAGGACGCGCGCGTCATGGCGGCGGTGAGGAGCGCGCATGCGGGCTCGACCATCAGCATGGTGCTGCATCCGTCAGGGCGACTAGTGACGGGAGGAAGCGACGGCTGCGTGCGCTACTGGAACCTCTCGAGCCCCATGGGCATGCAGCTCGAGGATGCGGAGAGCGTTGGCTTCTCCATGCCCGGTGCTTCCATCCGCGCCATGGCGTACGTGGCGCCTTCACTGCTGGGGGACTACCAGGGAGGAAGCATGCTGGTGGGGACGGGGGGAAATGAGCTGCTGCTGCTGCGAGAGAGGACGGGAGAAGTTCTGTCGGTGCTGCAGGGACACAAGGAGGAGGTAACGGCTCTGTGCTGCCATCCTGCGGCTCAGGTGGCTGTCACGGGAAGTCGCGACGGGGGGCTGAAGCTCTTTGACCTGCTCAAGCTCGAGCTGCTCCGAGCTGAAAACTTCCCGACGGGTGTGGAGGCACTGGCGCTCTCGCATGACGGGCGGATGCTGGCAACGGCGACGAGCGACGGGAGGATCCTCGTGCTGGAGCTCGCGAGCCTTCGGCCCCTCCTCTCGTTCCACGACGGCAGGACGGAGAAAGCTGCTGGGGCCACGAAGAAGGAACGAGCTGGTTTCTCTTCCCTTCGCTTCCTCCTCGACGACTCCGCTCTCCTCGCTGGTGGTTTCGACGGGAGCGTCTGCCTCCTCCCCATCCGTTCAGCGCTCAAGACCCTCTTTTCCTCCTCCTCTCCTTTTCCCCTCCTCCTCGACACGCAAGACGGCAGCCGTTGCGGGGCACATGGAGGAGCAGTGGCAGCCCTCGACGTCTCCTCGTGCGGGCGATACGCGCAGAGCTGCGGAAGAGACATGACGGGGGTGGTGTGGGAGGTGGGAGGCGGCGGCGGCAGGCTGCTGCTAGCGGGGCGGACAGAGCTGTTCCAGGAGGTGAAGTGGGAGACACAGACGTGCTTGGCGGGACGTGAGATGGAGGGACTGAGACAAGAGGAGAAGGAGAGGAGAGGAGAGGGAGGCGAGAGGGGTCACCAGGAGGACAGGGACAGGGGTACTCCTTCTTGCGTAGACCGGTCCCGGCAAGGAGACTTGCTAGCGGTGGGGGAGAAAGGAGGGCAGCTGAGCCTGCTGTCCTTCCCCGTGCTCTCGTCCTCGGCTCCTCGTCGAAGCTACGGGAACCACGGGGGGAGGATCAGGCGAGTGACTTTCAGCTGCGATGACTCGCTGCTGCTCTCCACGAGCGGGAGCGACGGCTGCCTGCTGCTATGGGAGGTCATGGACCATCTGTTCTAGCTCCTCCTCCTCCTCCTCCTCCTCCTCCTCCTCCTCTAGCTGCTCAGGTCAGGTCTCGTCTGTATTTACATGCATGCTAGTCTTTACAGCTCGCCCTCCATCAGAAGGGATTCAGCCACCTCGCGACCGCGATAACTCGCGGGTGAAGTCGTCGGTGTTGGATGATGGGAGAGAGGGAGGAGGAGGAGGAGGAGGAGAGGGAGGAGGAGGAAGGAGAGGAGGAGAGGGAGGAGGTCGAGGAGTCTTTAGCAGTGATGAGGTTGAGCAGATCAAGCATGAGGGGGTCTGAGCCCTTGCAAGGGTCCTCTAGGATGGGATCCTGACAAGCCCGTCAGCCTATTCGCTTCTTCCGCTTCTCTCACCGTGTGGCTCTTGCCCTCGTAAAGTTTCACCGTCTCCACTCGCCCGCCTGCCCTCTCGAGCGCCATGGCGAATTCGACAGTCTGAGTGCGAGTGAGCGGGAGGAGGAGGAGGAGAAGGTCACCTGAGCATGAGGGACGGTGGCGTCGGCGGTGCCATGGAATAGTGAAACTTTGGGGAGGAAGGAAACAGCGTGAGGAGAGAGGTCAAGGACCCGACAAGCTGGGCAAGAAGCGAGTCACAAGCAAGAACCAGAGGAAGGAGGAGGAGGATCAGCACCAGGCGACTGCTTGAGCGGATCGCCGGCGACAAGAGCGTTGAGAACATTTTTAGGAAGCCCACGAGCTTGCATGAAAGGAATGAGCTTGAGAATGTTGTAAGGCCCTGAGATACCCACGAACCTGCGGCAACCCTCACTATTCTGGCCCCCTCCCTCCCTCCTCTCCCTCCCTCCTGCTCCCCCTCCCCATTCCTCCTCTCCTCCACCCTCGCGAACCGTGAGAGCTGTCGGCAGCTGAAGGCCATGCCTTCCATGGACGAATGAGCTCCTGCTTCATTCCGCTGCACCTGCTCCATCATCCTCCACCAACCCGCCTGCAGCTGCTCCTTCCCCACCAGCTCAGGCAGCCCGTGTGAGGCACAGAGCTTCTCAAGCGCCGCCTCCTTCTCAGCCGCATCGATGACGCACCTGAGCTGAGTGAGGAAGAAGAGGCGACAACAACGACAAGGAGGAGGGCAAGGGGTGACTCACAGGGCGGCAAGATGAGCCCCAGCGGACTGACCCATAAGGGTCACGTTGTTTGCGTCTCCTCCTGCAGAATCATCAGCGTCCCTCCTCCCCTTCATCCCTCCTCCTCCCCTTCA